AATCGATCTGAACATCTGTTCCCAATTTCCTCAAGTGCTGATTCAATAGTTTTAAAATCTTTTCTAGTTTTTTCATAGTCCTTTGTTTCTTTCCCTAGTTCTTGCAAAATCACTGTCTTGTCTAAAGCTGGCAATGGGAACCTGAATCGACAAATTGCCTGATTCTTCTTCCCACATGTATGAGCATGTCTGTGTGTTTGATAGTTAACAAATTCTGCTATGTCATCACCTTTCTTGCATGTAACATATAAATTTATAAAATCTGCAACTCCTTCAGCAGTATGCTTAGAAATTAAAAGAGCAACATTTACCCATACCAGCATATTGCTGAAACTCAACACGATAGAAATAGTCCTTAATTTTACCAATTGGTCGGGTCGTGTTACATAAAACATCATAAAGAAACTTTTGAACTTTGTGGATAAAATACCTAGAACATGTTATGGGGTCTGACTGAATAAGCTTGCATTTCGCTGTCTATATCTAGGTACTATATTGTCTTATGACTTTAACATTCTTTGAAATAACATTATATACCTCGCTCTGTACTGAATTTGGTTTGGTCACGTTATTTGATAGTCACGTGATAAATGCATGTAATGTGTACTGTAAGTAGGTCACAAACAAATTTCAACATCGCAAGGGCATACCCTAGTTAAAATTAAAAATTAAAGTGATTGTTTCTACATAACCTGTAGTTTATGGAAAGTGCTGCTGCTTTAAATAGAATTCGCATTTTATTAGTTAAATTTCATGTTATCTTGCTAATGTCGAAATATGTGTGACCTATACCAAGTATTTTATGTATTTATTAAGTTATGCTATCGATTTCAGGAAAGCAGCAGCACATTTCAAGTTAAGGAATATGTCCATTATGTGTATTCAAAAAATGGTCAAGATCTATTAAGTGTAAGCCCTTGCGAAAAGGCGATTTCATGAGGCACCTCGGCGTGAAACATGCACACCCTGTTGACGAAAACACGGTAGAATTAATTCAATACATTCTCTCGATAGTTTTTAAATAATGACACTAAACAAGTGTTTCGGATTTGTATTAACGAGGTTCGCTCCTGAGCGTTTGAGCAGATTTATATCTTAACCTATATTTCAAAAATTCTGCATAAAATTTTAATTCTTACAATAAATTTGAATTCTACAATGCCAATTAAACTATATTCAGTCAAAACTTCATGATAAAATTCCATACCAAAAGCATTAAGTGAGGAACTATATTTTGTGGCGGAAGGTTTTTTAGAAGAAAATGATCATTTTTTTCTCTTTCGAAGTATTTAAAGTATGTTAAGTTTAGATTCCTATTTTTACATGCAGTCTGCACACAGAGTTATTTTGTGTAGTGAACTGTTTTATACTGGTCCTAAATTATATATCAAATAAACTGTCATGAATTCTATCATTATATTTGATAAATATAGCAAATATATTGTGAAAATCAAGAAAAAAAATGTCCCTATTTTAAGCTTAAAATTAGCACTATTTTAATAATATCTAACAATTAACATCACAGACCTCCACTTTTTATTTTCTTTTCTGAATATATAAAATACTTTTAACTATTCTTTTTAAATTCAATAAAATGTAATTAATTTCAAATGATTTTTTGGCTTGTTAAATTTTTAATGCCAGTAAAATGAAATTTTTTGAGTGCAAAAAGGTCAAATAATTGAACATGCGGAGTAATTTGAAAAATTTTTCGTTGTCACAAATTTTAATGTGTCTATTCAACATGAAATAAAACTGTGTTTGTTCCCATAATTTATTTGAATAAAAAAATATTAGAGGAAAAACTTTAAAAATTTATTTATGTGTAAGACGTATTTACAGTGCAAAAAGGTCAAACTAAATGCTCTGTAGCGCCAAAAGAAGTGCATTGACCCCCATCTTTTGTTTTGATTTTTAATTAAACTATGTGTATAAATTATAAAAATATACTTGATAAAAAATTCTCATTACTTTTGATGGCAGGATCCAACCTCCTTAATGGTCTACCTAAGATTTACAAATAATATCCAGTTTAATAATAAAATGCATTTTTCACAGTGAAAAAATTATTGATCCGCCTCTCACTGCACATAAAATGCGTCAAACTTTACCATGATGACGTCATATCGACAAGTGCATTGCGATCAGTGACTTGTTTATATCTTGCTGTGTGGGATTTAACTAGCGACAAAAATGAATTCAGTGGTAAGTTTTGATGTAGTTCATTACTTTTATGCAGTTTAGATTCGCAAATTATTTCATTTTCTGTTATTATGAGGAATTGCTATATTTGTGTGATGTCACAGTGAACTTTTCCCGCAGAAATTAGGCACCGCCCCCTTTATGAAGCCTAACAGAGCTGCGATCACATTTTGTTTGTAGTCCGTCTGTCTGTAAACTTTTCACATTTTCGACTTCTTCTCCAGAACCACTGGACCAATTTCAAACAAACTTGCCACAAAGCATCCTTGGGTGAAGGGGGTTCAAAATTGTTCAAATGAAGGGCCACGCCCTCTTCCAAGGGGAGAATACCAAGAATTAGTGAAAAATTAAAAGCATCTTTCAAAAATCTTCTTCTCAAGAACCAAAGGGCCAGGAAAGTTGAAACTCATGTGGAAACATCCTCAGGTAGTGTAGATTCAAATTTGTTCAAATCATGACCCCCCGAGGGTAGGGCGGGGCCACAATAGAGGATCAAAGTTTTACATAGAAATATATATAAAAAATCTAGAAATGTCATACTAGTATCTTATGCTCATAATCAACCATTAGGGCGGTATGATCTTTGGCAGTTACTTTATTTTCAATATACAATTAAATAATTATGTTATGGCCAAGAATTTAAACTTCAATCCCTGTGACCTTGACATTGCTTAAATGACCAACATGAAGGGATGTTTCACTGCCTCTGGTCATAGTTTAGCAGCCTTTGTATTTCGTGTGAAATATGTGGAGATAACGAACAGTATTCGAGTTCAAATATCCATTAAACATTACAAAATAGGAGCTGAGCAATCACGGACCTCTAAGACATCAGAGGTGGAATCAGGTACCATGGAGAGGTGACCCCTTGCCGACCGGTTATACCCGCCGTGTGCTCCTTGTCATGATCAGAAAATAACGAAAAAAACGTTGAGAATTCAGTGTGTAAATAATGGCATAACAATTAAAATAATTAGTATGATAAAAGTCAGTCAGCATTTGACTTAATGAAAGATTGTATTTGCTGACAGGGTCATTGTATCGACCATAGAACCTACGAAATGGTGATTTAAACGAGACTGCTGATATTCTTGTTTCGTCAACATGTTTGTCAATAACTTACCTCGTTTTAGAAATTGTTTGTACGTAAGAATGGAAATAATCATTGTTAATTGACAATACGTCGTCGAAATATCTAAATGTCGAGTTGAATACCATTAAATGTTTTCTTCTTTTCACGTAAAAGATTTTGAATTCTGCTTCATATGAATACAAAAATAGGTCTGCGAATAACGGGGTGCAATTGGTACCCATGGGAATTCCAATAGATTGTTGGAAAACCTGGTCTCCAAAAACCACATAGATATTGTTAATCAGAAACTCGAGCATCTTTTTAAAGTCAACTTCAGAGTACATGTGTGTACAATTAGATTGCTTTTTTAAACAAAGTTACTTTGCAAATGACCAATGACAAGGCAAGTAAATTTAAGAGTTCCATTTTTATTGAAAAAGCAGCTGTCAACAATGTCAGAAAGTCTGGCCTTTAATTTACCGCTTGGAATAGTTGTATATAAAGTTGAAAAGTCGTAAGTTTTATGCTGTTTTGCTAAAATTGTGTGATTTCAAATGTTCCAAAAGTTCCTAGGAATTTTTTAGTATCCACATCTGATTCACACAACTTCTCAGATATATTGTTGCACAGGACTGTTGAAGTTTCTCCTTCACTACTGTTAATATCTTAGTGAGGAGTAAAGAAAGAGGCTTGGTATAACAGTTACTGGAACCCGCTATGTATCTTTGTTTGTAAGGATTTTTATGAAGTTTCGGAATCCAATATAGATATGGTAAGTCAAATTCATTTTGGATGTTGGAAATATTAAAAATATTCAAAACTGACATATGATTTTGAAGAATTTCCTCTTTACAAAGGGAGCTATGGGTATAAGTTGGATTACCAATTGTAGAATTAAATCCCATTCCTCTAAAATACAATTCATATAAAGAGCCTTACAAACAAAGACAATGTTGTTACCTGATTTGTCAGCAGGGACCAGTACGTTCTGATCCTATCCAGTTCTTTTTTTCACTTCTGAATTATTGAATACAGAAGGATAGAAGATTTTCACACGGCACTTCAATCGTTTGATGGGAGATTTTAACACATCTGATACATTTAGTCCATTCTGACAAGGTGTCAAGGTCTTCTTTTTCATGTCTGACCCAACGTCTGGCGTAATCCTCTACAGAATCCATAATATGTATGAAATTACGACGCCAGTTAAAGGATCGGGTTTCCTATATTAAGGACCTTATAAAATTAGTGATCTAAGGTCCTCATTATTAACTATATTTACGAGCAAAAGTTTCCTCCAGACATTCAATGATTTTGGTTGATCCTGTGTTCTTCAAAATGAAAGTTTCAAAGAAACGGCTGTACTAGTCCACATACACCAATACTGATTCTCTTGTTGGAAAAGGTCCCATTAGATCGATTGCTGTAGCTTGCCACGGATAATTTGGAAGCACTTTACGGCGTAAAGGTTGAGGTGACGACGGACCTCCAACTACTTGACATGCAAAACAATTCTTGCAAATACGTTCGGCATCACTATCAATTTTTGGCCACCATACCAGTTTGTATGAAAATGAAACAACTATACATATTCAGAGTAATGACAAAATAAAATTTTATTAATACGGATATTAAAATTTCAGTTTGTATGAAAAGGAGACAAAAAACTGTACATATTCAATGTAATGACAAAATAAAACTTTATTTAAATTCCAACTAGTCAACTTTAAGCGAGTCTCCCAGGAATGAATCCAACGTATTGCCCAGATGCTTCTGGATACTTGTCCCTTATCCTCCAGGTGATGCAGCTAGGGATAACTTTCCTATTCCCTGTCCCGAGTTTACCATAGGTCCATAAAATGTACTGTCGATACGCCGATTGTCTATTGGCCCTGTTGTAATCTTCATCTGTCGGAAGTGCCAACACATCCTCCCGGTACAGGCGGGCAAGGGCAAGCACTGCCTCATCCAGGCAGAGCACATGAAAATCCTGAGAAAAAGAGCAATATTTAACTTGCATGAAACTATCAATTAAGGCTAAACAAGTAGTTAAAATATATGTATACAAAGTCTTAAGAACCTTGACATTTATTTTAGAAGGCTTCATACTCATTACTATAGTAAATAATAAATAAATGAAATCATACAGGCAGAAGAGTAGTGCACTGCTCTGGGGATCTTCCGCAACAGACTCTCTCCACTTGTGTAGGCATCTCCCTACATCTGCTGCATGTGCACCAAGATGGTACTCCGGGAAGGGGTGGAGGTGGATCTGGTCTTGGATGAGCTTCCTCTATGATATCCAATATGAAACTTGCGGATCTTGAGGCAATTTGCACCAACATTTCTCGGCACTGCTCAAGATTCAAGCTGTGGACATGTCTCTGATAATAAGAAAAGAAAAAAAAATCAGTCAGAGGTTTTGACTGGATAAAATTTTCTTAATTAAAATACTTCGAGGAATGCAATATGTACATTGCATAATTTATATGTCTATATAAACAGATAATTATCTATATAAACAGATAATTACGATTAAAAAAATAATAACCTTTGCTACATCAACTCTGTTGCGTGTTAACTGCAGGGCCACAACATCTCTCCTCTCTGCAGATTGTCCTCTCCATCTCCTTCCCCGTGGCGCTCGACCCGATCCCCTACCCCGCTGCCCACGCCCTCTCGGTCTTCCTCTACCATGTCTACCACGACGTATAGGGGAATCTCCCGCAGTTGAAGATGATGACTGAAATATTTTTTTTTTCTAAATTGTTCAATAATGTTCATTATCATAATTATTAGACTATTTAAAATCTTTTCCACAAAATATATTAATTTTCCCTTGAGGGCCCCTCTGTTATTTCGCGCGTCCACATCAAGTTCCGAAATGGAACTATTAAGAAATAATACTAATTATTTTATCTTTTCAGCCGTTTATCTCTGAACTATATAAACATCCTAACACGTTTAAACGTATCATCATACCAAATTACCAGCAAATAATATAAAATATCAGAAAGCAATTTCACGTGTTCCTCACCTCGACATCCATATTTGTTTGGCTATCGGAAGTCACGTGGTCTTCTCTATTTAAATATTCATAACTTCCCGTCAGGAACTTCTGTTTGTCAGTGAGGGTTTTGATCGATGTTTTTCTCGTGAGGATTGTTGTAACAACCGATAAAATCAGTCTTATAATTTATTTCTATATATTTCTTATGTAATCACGTACTTTTATTGTGTAAGAAAAATATATGTCTCTATCGGATTAAGCGGCCTTAAATTCCTACCGCCGAAATATGGCTGAAATATTGCCGACTTGGCGTAAAACAGTAATAATCAATCAATCGATTTATCCAAGAAAAGCCGTGTACATTAAATGTGTACACAACATATATGCATGCAAAAATCAATGCATTAACAGTTGTGATTACTTACAAAATAAATCATTCTTTTACTGAACATAATTGATCATGATAAATATTTAAAGTAAAATTATATTTGAAAAATAAACAAGAAATGTTTGAAGCTAAGGTGGCCATTCTTAATGATAAATGTCAGAAACACAAAAGTTTTTAAACAAAATTTTGAAGTAAATAAGTACATGTAACTGTCAGAATAGATATTTGTGGTTAGGCAGTTGGCCAGTTTCCCTTATGAAACATGCCAAATATGGCTTGCATGAAGTATATGGATGTACCAACCATGTTAAAATTATTTTACAAGATTATCCAGACTTGAATTTATAACATAAATTTTTGTTGGTAATTCATTAGAACTGCTTAACTTTTGGAGAGAATGGTAGATTTTCATAAAGGACAAGCATGCTCCCAAGATCTTCAATCCAGTGGCATAAATTTAAAATTCTTTAACAACATGGTAATATGTATAATTATATTTGAATGTTATTACCCGGTCCTCTTCCAGTGTGGTCATCTGAACCAAATATTAAAAATAAATGAACTTGAACATGATTAACAGAAATTAGTATCCAAAAATATATGAAATAGTAATACAATCAAGTGAAGTGTAACAGGGAGGAAACTATGTCTGTCAGACTGTAACTGGGACCTCATTTTAACAAGTGAATCATCACTGACACTTTTTATAGTAATTGTCAATTCATACCATTGCCTGTTACACTTGCACATCTTTAAAACTACTTGGAAACAGTAATAGAAAACAGTTCATATAAATTGAGGAATACTGTAGAACAGTATGATCAGATGTGTGACATCAATTGATATAGGTCTAATTTTTTTCACTCTGTTCATTGGACAAAACAAATGTTACTGCAGTCTCACCTTATTAGTGAATTTTAATAATAAGTAACCTTATGATCATATTGTTACCTAAATTGTAAAGAAAATGATTGAATACCAAAAAAGTATGTAACGTACGTAAAGAATGAAAATTCAGTGTACAGTATACCTCAGGCCCTACTTCTCTCCTTGTAAGGTTGTATAACTAGGCCTATCAGTGAAGGAAGTTCCGGGTGATCTCTGGACTGGTGGCTTTACTTGCTTGGTGACAGGTAGTCCTCTTTTAGTAAGGTCAGAAAAGGGTAGAATACTAATGGGCTGAACACAAGTAATTGGTAGGAGGGAGGTCACTTTCTTGGTCAGCTGAGGAATACCAGGGCTATGTAACATTCTTTTAGTTATCACCGAACGTTTCGGTGACGGAAGAGAAAGTAAAAAATTATCTTTTACGTTCTCTGCTGAGTATTTTAATTTACATTTCAGTTTGGATACTTCTTTTTCCATTTTACTTAGCCTCTCAACGGTCTGGAAACACTTTTGACATACACCTGTTTCACCAGCAGGATCACAGACCTCTACCCCAAGCGAACTATTGATAATTTTTTATTCGCTCTTCTGTTAATTTCAGCTTTCAATCGAAAAACTTCTGTGTAATCTCTTTCCCCTTTGAGTCTATAAACACTTGAATAAAAGAAAATCCACATTAAATGCATATATTCCCCAGACTTAACGTTTTTCTGGGAGTAGCCATGCCACTCGACTGGGCAGCCATGTTGGTTATTGTAAACATTATCGCGAAGAATCATGGGAAATCTTCCATTAGACGAATCTCGCCAGCGGCAATTTGACTGGCTCTTGGAAAGGTCGTCTGGACGTCACCTCCAAACGAGTTGATACAGATATTCGTAAGCGGTAGCGTATCATAACAGCTGATTTTAATCAGATTGCATAGTCCTCGCTAATAAGTGTCCTCATTGGATTTTTGCGAGTATCCACGTTGAAGTTGAAGATTTCAATATATCTATTTACTAAGCTGTCAGCATATATTGCCAATAAAGTATATTACATCCATCTGGTTAATGATAATGATGAAAATATGACAAACTTACAGAAAATATGCAGTTGAAAACACTCTGCTCTTTCTTGTCTCCTTTCCCAGCCGCATGATGACGTAGTATGTGACGTAGGGCATTCCATAAAAAATCATTTGGTTCCGTAAAATAAGTATATAACACGTAGTCATCAAAGTTCGACTCTGACGCGGAAATATATTTTCAAAATAAAGATTTAAAGGACCAAAATTATGTAATTTAGAAAATTTCCAATTCTGGGATGAATACGAAATCGACTGGCCGAATTAACCAGGCTTTACTTACATTTCCTGTCACAGAAAAAAAAAGTGCATCCCCCTGTGGCTTGTTCCAGAGTTTCCTTTTGGATGATTGTGCTCTAATCCCCTGAAACGACGGTGAATATGTATGCACTGTAGATATTTTGTCATATTTTGTGTTTATATTGCAGGTTCTTGTTAATATTCATTTTGCAACGAAATTCAGATTCCGTTTTCATTTCAGGTTCAACGTAACACGGCCAGGTGAATCGAATGGTTCTGTACATATTGCAAGACATAATGCTTTTCTTATGCTAAGCGACATCTATTTGAAGGCTTTACTAAATCTTGAGACAGTAGTTAAAAGTGAATTTTACTTTTACTGGGTGTACTGTTCTGACTGTCACACATGTGCAGAGATTTGTAAACACGACTTCTACAGTGTATCTCAATCTTCTTGGGGATTAATTTGAGGACTATGAAAAAATCCTTGCAATAACTAAACTTGCATTTGATGTATTCACTTATTTTTATTATTTTATGCAATTTAAAAAAAAATCCATTTTTTCAGAATTGTTATAACTGTTAAATTCATTGTAATCCAATCGAAATATCACAACTAAAATGAAATATTATATCTCATTTGTACATTTGGTTCCAATAACAACATACTGTAGGATGTCTTACATATATCCCTCTTTTATGCTGTTATGAATGTACTATTAAACAGGGTCTTTTGTTTTGCTCAGAGCATATACATGTTGGACCATTTAACATAAACAAGTTGACAAAACATGGACCTTTCAGATGATATTATGGGATTTATTGTACTTAAAGACATCCTATTCTAGGAATAAGCCCCTTTGACCTAAACAATTGAAATATCAGAATGGGTAGTAATATTTTTATGATTGAAATTCTTTGTAGGAACTGCTTGTCAGGACAAAAGCCTGAAAAGCCTTAAAAAAGACTGAAAAACTGCCTTTAAACACAGCCATCTTTAATGTCAATGAATTTATAAGGAACATCCAAACAGTACGATAATAGGATCATCAGAGACTGGCAATTTTGTTTATTACTCACTGTGGCAGATACATTTAAATAAACATTGAAATGTTCGATTTTTTTTGTTCATTGTTTTTCCTCATGATGTATGAATATCGCAAAATATTTATGCTGTAGCTCTACTGGTTGTACTTATAAAGGGAGATAAAAGTAGCTTTTGGACTTGAAACTTTGCAACAGAAATAAATAGAATAATGATCCTTGGTTTAGACTGTTTTTATGGCAAGATTTATTGCAATCAGAATAAAACTGTAGAAGGAGTAGCCTTTTAAAATATATAATTTTACAGAAATTTCGACTTAAGTAACCATGGCAACATCATTCAACAAAACCAAACAGCAATAATGACAATTATGTATCTCGGTGTAGTCTATTTGTATGCCAATTTATATTGAAATCAGACAAAACATGTAGGTGGATAGCGTTTTGAAAGAAATTTTTATTTTTAGTAACCATAGCAACACCATTCATCGAAATCAAAAAACCGATACATAGAATTATGTATCTTAGTGTAGTCTACTTGTGTGCCAAGTTATATTGAAATGAAATGAGATCAAAACTGTAGAAGGTGTAGCGTTTTGAGTGTATTTCACAGAAAGGACAAGATAGGCTAAGACCCCTTTTTGGCCCCTGGTTTGGGGTGTCTTTTAGAATGATGCAACAATTTATCAATAAAAACCTGTTGTCACCCCTACCACAAAATGAGTATTGGTTCTAAGTTATTGGATACACAGAGGTCACACAAAAGGTCAGAAAATGTTAATTTCAGAATTTTCTCATTTTTTATGCAAATTTTCATAGATTTTACAGCACATTGTGTTTCAGAAAACATAGAACACAATCTTGCCTATCTACCAAATTTATATTTCAAACACTAGTATCAAATGTATCTTAAGTATAAAAATCTCATATAGGCAAGCTTGTGCTCTATGATTCCTGAAGTGAAAAGTATCTCAAATTTCTCGAAATTCCACCAGAATTGAGGAAATTCGGGAAAATATCCTACTTCTGCACCCTCTTGTAGCCTCCGTGTAAGCTTTGAATCAAAACTATTGCTGATTTTAAAACAAGCATCATTTCAAGTTCTTAACTACAAACTATCGCAATTTTAACTGTGTTCTGATTTTTACATCAAATAAGGGGCCAGATTCGGCCGTTACCATACCTTGTCCTTTCTATTATTAATAATCATGGCAACACCATTCATGGAAATCAAAAACCGATACAGAATTATGTATCTTAGTATAGTCTACTTGTTTGCCAAGTTATAATGAAAACTGTAGGAGAAGTAGCGTTTTGAAAGCTTTCCACAGAAATTTCTATTTTTAGTAACCATGGCAACACCATTCATTGAAATTATAAACCGATACACTGAATTATGCATCTTAGTATAGTCTACTTGTTTGCCAAGATATACTATATCACACCAAAACTGTTGGAGGATTAGCATTTTGAAAGTATTTCACAAAAATTTCTATTTTTAGTAACCATGGCAACACCGTTCATCGAAATCAAAAACCGATACACAGAATTATGTATCTTAGTGTAGTTAACTTGTGTGCCAAGTTATATTGAAATGAGACCAAAACTGTAGGAGGAGTTGCGTTTTGAAAAATTGTTTACAGACGACAGACAGACAGACGGACGGACGACGGACACCTTACTATCGCATAAGCTCTTCTGGTCTCTGACCAGTAGATCTAAAAACTGATAAATTTAAATTAGCATGTATATTGTGCGAAATTATGGTCACATGAAAAATGCATGAATTTCGTATGAAAATTGTGTAATGACATACGCATGAAATTTGTATGTGGGACTTTTTGCATGATTTTTGTATGATTTTCGCATCAATTTCATGCGAAAAGCAAACGCATGAAAATCACGGGAGACACTCTGAACTGTGTAGCGTGACAAATTTAGTGTACAATGAGATGCAAGAACATTTAGGTCCACATTCGTATTCTCCTGGAGCATCTTTACAACATGCGCGATATTCCTTGCTGTTAAAACAACTTTTACCCCGGGAAACAAATATGCAATAAAAATTAAACATTTGCACAGTACCATCGTCCGCCGAGCCATTTTGCATCTTCTTTGTCCGCGTTACGCATTAAAACTTTCGCAAACGATCGGTCATTTACATAAGTTTAAATGTAGCAGGTACCCATCACATGACCCAAAAGGGGGTTAGCAAGGGTTTTTTAAATTACCTAATATTCGTAAATGATCGGTTATTAACATTTCATAGATCATTCATATTGGCGCAAAGGTGTCAATGCTCAATAAGAACTCGTAAAGTTAATCATAAGAAAAAAAAGGGAATAGATTTATACATTAAATATTAAATAGACTACACAATATGGTCAGTGGAAATTCTTGCATTAACGATATTTCCTTTGCTATAGACAGTCAATCTTTTATGTAGGAACGTTTAATAAAGAATGAAAACAAATGAACCGTTTTGATAACACAATAATTACTATGCTTGACTAGGATTGACACCTATGAAGTAGGAGCAATTTGGTGTAACATTGACAATCAAAATATGCATATTGAGAAGTTCAAAACTTAAATCACAGTACCATCAAAAACACAGGCCATTGGATCGCTAAATCCGACTTTAAAACAATTGGGGTGTATAATAATAAGGTAAAGGTATGGAACTCGTTACATAGGGTACCCAATTTCCGAATAAAATACTTTTAATCAAATGATATAAAGACAAATTTTCTATTCATATCTTTTTATATAAAATCACTCTACATTACTACCAAAGTTCATTCCGAAATTCCGTATTCTTCCCGAGATATGCTGAAATCAATTCCAAAATTGACCTATATTTTTTTACTCAACATTAGTTTGGGCCCTGGTCATTCGCATGTATACAGACGATGTTTAAACTGCAGCAAACATCTGCATTATATTTGCACAATCTTTCAACATTTTAAAGTTGATTTTTTAAATAATTAAAAAAGGTCCGCTTCGACAACTG